TTTAATGATCATTGGTTTGCGTAGTTGCTTAGTTCTGTTTTTTTTTTTTTTTTTCAGTCTGGCAGTGATTAGCTCTTCCAAGGTCTTATTGTAGAACAACAGCTTTCAAGGTTAATTAAAAACCTTTTAAATTTTATCTATGTACACATGGTAAAAGAATTAAGATTTCTTTTTATTGCAATTTAATTTTTAGAACATAAAAGTTCCAACTTAAAACACATAGTCTGTGTTTTTAAGGTCTCTTCAATGGTAAAAAAAAAAATCTTGATTATCTATCCCTCTTTGTGAAATCTGTCAATGCTTTAACTTAACTAATTAATGTGCAACAAATAAAATTGCAAGCTTCAAAAATAATAAATATTTTACAAACCCTTCTTTAAAGTCTGTAACTCATGGAAAATTTGGCATCCCAATCTAGTACTTGCATAGTCTCAGTAATTGATGTTTTTTGATGTTTCTGAAAAACCTAGTGAAAAATCAAGGTGGTAAAACTGAGCTGTGTATGTGATGCTGCAATGGCATGTAGTTTGTACACATCAAAATTATTCACAATTCCATTGTCAGGTAATTTGCTTGCATGACTGATGTGAAGGAGTAGGATAATGGTGATGTGGGTCATTTTCCACAGCAAAATACTTCATCAGTTTTTAGTTCTTGCCTTATCAACTCCTCAGCCAGCATTCTTTTCACAAAACAAAACAAAACAAAAAACCCCAAACAACGAAAAGACAAAAAACCCACACTCCAACAAGCTCCCCCATAAAACCAACCCAAAACAGAAAAAACCCCCAGCTCGGTCTTTTCATCCTAGTTAATTACAGAGCCACTGAAAGGTACCATTTTGTTATGAAAGTTAACTACTCAGAAAGTATGAAAGGATTATTTGCTGGTTGAATAACTGAAAAAAACTTCCTCAGTATGCACATGCATAAGCAAATATAATCCAGAACCGAATGCCAATGTTGCACTTCCATTTTTTTTAATGACACGTTATTTCCCAGAGGCTGAATTTCAGAAACCAGTAAGCTGAGCAGAAATTAGTAGTCTATACTGGTCTTTCTGAATTCTGAATATTCCGTTTCAGCAGGATCGTGTGACTGTTTTCGCTTGTAGCAGAAGGGTAATTTTGATTTGTTCTGTTTAAAGTTTCTTAAAGGTCTGGTGTTTATAAATCTGTTTAAAAAGCTGTGCATAAAAAGGTTTCTCTATAAATACAGAATGGAACTTTTGGCCTCTTAACTGGCTTGTGCTGTTTACTGAGTGTTCTCCAGCAACCTCTATAACAACTGGTATTTTTTGATCAGTAATTTGGCTGCATTGATGTTTCTTTCTTGGTGAAGTCTTTACTTAATTCATTCCCTTCAACTGGAAGTGTGGGTAATTTTGTTCAGTTACACTTACAATTTTGATTTTAGATCCTTTGCATGTACTTCATAGCTTTGTGATTTTATTTCCTCTAAAAGGTTCACTTCTTATAGTTATCCATTCTAACTCATGTTCCATTGAATTCAGTTCCCTAACTACTTTCTTTTGAGCTGTACTTGAAAGGGTTTTAAGGTTCCAGCCTTTACTTTTTGTACCTTTTTTGTATTCATTCATCTCTCACTAGAATTTCACTCATCTCAAAGTAGGTCTTAGGTATGATTCTGTAAGTCTGGGAATATAGTTATTAGAATGTCCACTTATTTCTGTAAAAAATAAATATTTTAACATTGTAACATATCAAATACCTAAAGTATATTTCTTTCATTTAGAAAATAGTGCTATGGACTTTGAATTTGGTTTCATAGTTCTATTTATTTAGTTAGGTCATTAGAAGGTACATGTATAGTAGCATTTCTTAAGAATACTGAACTACATGGTCCAGCTTCCCATGAAATTACTACAGATTTGCATATAGTAAATTGATAAAAAAGATAATATAGTTTTTCTTCTGTATTTTTAGTAATGCTGATAGTCTTCTTTTTTCTTGCCCCTGCTGTTTAACTGCAGGAAACATATCAATAAATTCTGGTTGGCTGATCTTTTTCACCTTTCTTACTAAAACAAAAGTAATTGAAAGTGTCTGCTTTTATTCCACTATGTAATAAAGGGAATTGGAGATATTCTTGAACTGTTGAAAGTAATTTTTTTAAGAATAAAGCATTTACTACAGGAGCTGTTATACTTGTGCTTTTGAAGTTGTATAAGAAAAAAAAAAACATTAATATTGCATTTTCAAATAGAAAAAGCAGCATATTTTGTTTGCTTTTAATTTTAACTATATTTTATTTAATTATATAAGTTTATCTTTAATTCTACCTGCCTGGATTTCCAGTCTGCTTGAAAAACTTGGTCTTTCTTTCAAATTTCTATTTTCTTAGGGAAGAAATGCCTTCTCATCTTTTAAAATAGTGATGCTGAAAGTGAGGAGATACTAAAGTTGGGTTATAACTAGCTGTCATTTAACTTTTATTATCAGTCTTTGCCTGATAATACCTTTGTCACTTCTGATTCATTTAATGTCAGACTCATACTAGAGTGAATTTTGTGCATCTTTGCATTGACAATGCTCTTTCAAATATTACAGGAATGGTCTTCTCATAAGACCATGGCAACTCTGCATTCTGCTCACTTGTTTACATCTCCGTATTCCATTGCCACCTTCAAAAATAAAAAGGGCCCTTGGCACTGAAAGGATTTCATTTTACTGATGAAAATGATGAATGGGATCTGGAAACACACTCTGATTTTGGATATTCAGCTCCCAGAGAGGTTCCTCATAGATGGGGATGAGCTTTATTTTGAGTGGCAGAAGGCCTGGCTGTACAGGCATGTTATTCTGGTCTTATAAAGGAAAGAGAAACTGAAGTCATTGCCAGATTTAAAAAACAGATTCTGTAAAGAACATTTAGGAACAATACTAGGAAAAAAGAAATGCTGGGTTTTTTCCTCCTGTGGCTTTCTGTAACACACAGCAAAACTTGGTTACAGAAAATGGATTTTGTTCAGGTTTTTTTTTTTGTTGAGATCTTCAAAGCAGTCGCTGTAATAAAGTTGTTTTCAGTGTTCTTTCCCAGAATGTTTGTAAAGGTTATAGATTCCTGGAGATAAACAACTAGGATTTAATTCATTACTCTTCTCTTCCTCTCTTCAATACTCCATACTAATAGACTACTTTACAATTAAAGTTTTGCGGGGTGGGGTGAGTTGGTGGGTTTTTTTGGTTGATTGGTTATTTTTGTTTTGTTTTAATGAAGGTGGAATTTAGAAAATTGTTACAAGGTTGAAGTTTGCTTAGCTTGGAGTTTTTTTGCCTCTTTCTCAGGCTATTTTCCTTTTAACACTAAAAAGTAATGTTACCAATTTGGCATTTATAATCTCATTCTGCTTTTAAATCCTGGTAATGATTTGAAACTAAATATCATTGGTCAACTGTAAAAGTATCTAATAGTTATCTTCTTTGACATCCAGAGTTTCTGAAAAAATTTGCTAAATATTTTAATATTTTAATAATTGAAAATACTTTATTCTATTTAAAATACTGTAGCAATTAGAGTGGTGGCTATGTTCTCCTGAGCACTTCTTGCAGACCTACTGTGAGATATTGTAGGTATATTTTTAGGTCTACTCAGAATTCAAGTCTTAGAAACCTTTTGCTGTTGAAATATAGCAATTAATTCAAGAATATTTAGTAATGAGCCATAGTTATCCCAGACAGTTTCCTTGATCTTATTTTGATAGAAGATAAATGCATTACCCACTTTACACATTTTTATTGAGATCTTTCACTTTTGCTGGAGGTTCTCTGTTGGAAAGATTTTCACTCCCTAGTTCTAAGCTATTTGCCTTACACACTGCCAAGTAAACCATCTTCAGAGAAGGAAAGCAAAATTTATGTAAGTGGATGACAAAAACAATGGCATTGGATAAACCAGTAAACAAGGATAGGCATGATGCTTGCCAGTGAGTGAAAAAAAGGAGGCAAATTTCAAATGCCGAAATACATATGGAAGCTATTTCTATCTATTAAAGTGAGGGTATAAATAACCTTTATGTCTTCAGTCCTTAGAGGGGGGAGGTAAGAGAAATGCTGATTTTATAGTGCTGTTCATTACATATAAATTTCTTGAGTTTTCTATTACTTTAACAAAGAACAAAGATCCTTATTATTTTTTTGTCTTTTGTTTCCTCCATCATTTTCTTTCAAGAAATTCATTTAAAAATCTATTAAAGAATTGTCTTTTTCTGAAATAACTTCAGTGAATGTTTACTAGAGTTGTATTTTTTTAATTGAAGAGGAGTTTCTCAATGAAAAATCTTGCTTGTCTAATGAAAACTGTGGAGTTACCATATTCAAGTTGGACCTAGTAATAAAAATCAAAATTCAATAGAGAAGCAATTCAGATTTGAAAAACTGCTATCCATTTTCTTTGCCTGGATTTTAAATGCCCAGTAGGAGAAATCTTAGTGTCCACTTCTAAAACAACACAAAGAACATTCCATGAGAATACAATTTTTCACTGAGAAAGATCTGATAGAAAGAAACTCTGAAACTGTCAGATATCTAGATTAAGCCAGCAACTTCAGGCAAGAGAGAGTTATCTCAAAACTTATAAAAGCTTGGCATCTCAATTTAAGTAATCAAAATAACCAGAATGTAAAATGCAGCAGACATTTCTCTACTGTGTTTTTGCCACACCAATATATAATTTCTATTCTCTGTAAAATAATTGTTCTCCAAAATATGGAGACAAACATTTAGCCAAACCATTTCTGAAAAATTTGGATCTGGAAGTGTTCCAGATTTGTATGAGAAAAAGCAGAAATCCAGAGCTTCACAGGATGTTGGTCCAGATTTTGATATAGAAATGAAAATGTAAATATGAAGAAAAATTGAAAATTATTAATAAAGAATTTGATCAGATATTTTTTCCTAATAGTGTCAATTTATGGTCATATATTTCAATGTGTTTTTATTTTCCAAAGTAATTTTACTGTATTTTATTTATGTATTTTAGGCACGGAAGGGGCAGTGTTTGGGCACTCTGTGGAGACACCCCATATCAGAGCAGAACCTTCCCAAGACCTCAAGTAGGTGTTGTTCAAAAAGTTGCTTTTAAATCAAATATTCTCCAAAAAAATTAAGTCTGGATTAAAAGAAAAATATCTGTATAGTAATATATATACTGCCTATTTAATGACTCATGGATACAAAAACCCTTATAGACTCCAGTTTGTTAACTAGTCAAAAGACCCCCACAAACTCCTATTGCATGAAATGTAAAATATAGTGCTTTTTATATATGACCTGCCTCCCATAGTGGCATTCTTGAGAAATATATTTTCCCTAGAGGCTGGAATTTTCAGGTGTTTGTAAGGTCCAGTGTGTGTAGTATTGTTCAATAGCATCAGACCAGTTTGATTTTTTATAAGCTGTTACAGAATACATAGGTCAAGTTAAGTAAACTGTACCAGATTTTTCCATTTAGCAAGGTTTCTGGGTTGTTGGACTTTTTAATATTAACACATACACTTTTCAAAAATTCATTACCAAGTGAGGCTACATTTCTAAATGTAAAATTTTTCTGTATATAGTCAACGTGGAGAAATAAATAGATAGTAAAAGATTAGGTTTAAAATTTACTAGGGAATCTGTAGAAAAGAAAACTTGGAAAAGTGTAAAGTGAAAGCTTTTTTTTTGAAGTGCATGTATGTGCACTGCTAAGTACTAATCTGTGACTTATATAGATGTGATTCATAATGAGAATCACAGAAAATCAAAGGTCCTTCCTCGTGTTACTCCCAGCAGAACTGGTGAGAAAGAGTATAGGCTTTGACTCAATTCTAATGTGATTTTTGAACATTATATAACTATCTCTTTACCGGCCCAGAAGTGTTTCTGATTGATTGCTGCAGAAAAGAATGGTTAAATGCTCAGCCTTACCTTTGCAAAGGCACTGACCAATATCAATGTTGCAGAAATCATTTGCAGGAAGCTGCCAATGTGGAGATGTTTGACCATTATACATGGAGTGTGTGAAGTAAATGATTGTTTTTGACCATTTACACCAAACATTTTAAAGTAATGTATAGCTTTGGGTTCTTTCAGAGGATACCACTCACTGGATTTCTATCTTAAAAATCTCTGTCCCTTTCCATGTCTCTTGTCAGTCCTTTGTGGAAAATAATTGTAAAGGCATTTGTTAGTGACAATCACCAAGGTGATATGATCTCTAATCAGAGGAAGCTCAGCAGAAATCAAAAGAACATAACAAGCTTTTTTTTTTTTCAGGGGATCCGTAATTTTGCTTCCTCTACTTCTTTCTAATCATTAAATAATGAGTGAAAATGTATGGTAAAACAGATAGTCCTCTGTCTTCAGGATTAATTTAAGTAAGGTTAAAATCACCTCATATTGCTTCTGAAATTCACACATAGGTCATTCACCCCTCCAGTCTTTTGTCTTTATTCATTGCCATGATTCCTATTGTTGCTTAATGATTTCAACTCCACTGTTACTTCAGTTCATTTTTTCAAGATGGACTTAAATTAGTAAGCATTTGGCATTCAGCTTTCTGCCCTCTTATTAATAATTATTTTAACCCATACCTCTTATTCAAAAAATTGAAGAAACAGACGCCCTTGGAGTTGGGTCAGGTAACTTTAACTTACTTGTAAGTGATTTATTCTTAATATATTCAGTCTACATTATGTTCTGCAAGTTTTTGTACACATGTGCTCCTCTATATTGGTTGGATTCTTATCATATTCTTTTTTAAAACTCTCAAGTCAATTCAGTAATTTAAAAATGATGACAATTACTATTAGGACATTTCAGAGGGCTGGTCTGGGTCCTATTAATTTTTAATGTTTTAGAATAAACTTACCTAAGGTGTCCAATAATGGCAGTCCTAAAATCACCTAGAGTATTTTTCCAAGTGCTGCATCTCTGTGTCTTTGGTTAAGCTTAATGGTAAGGAATGGGAGCGTAGAAAGTTTGCTGAATAAATATTATTCATTTTTTTTCAGTGGACACAACTGAATGCAATTTGATAGCAAATTGCAGTGCATTGGTGCAAATATAGTAGACTATGAGAATTATTGTATACAGGGCTGAAAGATAATGGAATATATATTAGATCATTAATTAAAGTATAAATCACCCCATATTTTTCATGTTGGAATATGCATTTGTGGTCAATTAATAAACCTTGGATGTTTTTTCTCTTTTCTCCCAAACAAAATATGCTGGAAACCTACTCATAGGCTTGTATATGTAAAATGATTGACTACTGGTTTTAAAAAAATGGAATAATGACCACCTTGATTATTCTGAATGAAGCATAAATAGAAAATTCGGTCTAAGAATTTGATACCCACAAGGATCATAGTACTTCCTGGGATTTTAGTTTAATCCATCATGGGCAGGAAGACAAAAATATAGTCAGATTCACATTAGCTCCACATATCTGAACCTTGCCTCAGACACTCTTAGCTCTATAGCCAGATTTTAAGGTCTTCATACAGAGAAGATCCCTTAATATTTACTATTAAAAATTTGTTGTGTGAAAATAAACTTGAATTGAATACTAATGTAATTAATTCCTATGTGTCCAACCATTTGGGTCACATTTTCCTCCTTTCTTGCATTTTCAAATAATTGCTAGAAAGGTTTTGCTTTCAGGCAGTGCTGTTATACAATCCTTTGTGAAAGCTTTGTGTCAAATCCCAAAAATTAATTAAAGATGACTTTCATTAGTTGGGATAAGTAGCATAAAAGAATCATGCATTAGAATCTGGAAAATGAATTATATCTTAATAATTTAATCTTCCTGTTTCTCTCGCTACTGTTTCTTACAGGAATACAGTTAGGAAAACTAAACTGCCAATGTATTCCCCAAATACTGGTTTTAGGCCAATAGTGCATTAAAATATGGTGCACTAATAGGCAATATCCATGCACAAAATAGACAGACAGTAGTTAAATGCAGATAACTTTGCCCTCAATAGCATCCTTAATAAGGGGATGAATGATTTTTTGTTGTCCTCTGGAGATAACTAGAAGTTCAAATTAAAAAAAAAAATTCTCTTCTATGTCATGCCTCGCACACCACAATCAGTTAATCCTGCAAGCTAATGCTGGGAATAATGAGATGAAAATTGATCAAGTGGCAAGGAACCGTGCAAGATAGTTGGATTCTACTTTACCTCTGCTAAGAATTAAAAATATTCCTGTCTTGCAGAGGAGTTCATTCAGAGTTGTCTGATGGTTTGTAAGAGACACCTTTTGTGACATTTAAGGGATGGTTTACTAATAGGTCAGAATATTATATTTTGTAAAAGCCTGGAGCCAGAAAACACATCAAATTTTGACCTTAACTTTATAGTCATCTGAGCATGTTGAGAGTGACAAAATCTCCATGACTCTTTTGAGCCAAAAATCAAATAATAAACAAAACCTAATCAAAAACTAGATGCAACAGAGCAAAAAACCCATGTCCCTTCCTATGCTGTTTTAATGATGTCAGAGTCTAGTTACTTTCAGTACCCTTTTTTAACAAAATAGAAATAATTACTATTTATTTTGCATAGTTTGTGTTAGTTATTTCATTGTTTGGGTGTGGATATTGACATGGATATTGTTTGCTTAGTCTTATCAGTAGCTGTTGAAAATATGATTTTTTTAACATACATGTTCATACAAAAATAGGTATGGATATAGTAAAATTTGAAAAATTTCCAACATTTAAGCTTCTCTTTTAAAAACATGTGCTCTTCTCTTTTTAAATATGCATTACGTACATTTATATATATGTGTGTTTGTGTATATATGTGTATATATATATATAATTTTCTTAAATATTGAAGTAAACAGAGAAGAAAACCAGTAATGAAAGGTTCTAATTGCTATGCAGACAGGACAGAGTAGAAACAAATTAATCTGGGTATGGCTCTTAAATTGAAAGAATAATTTGCTTTAGTGTTCAGTGATGATGATTATATTTGACATTGGAAAGGGAAAGGGCTCTATCAGGAATCAAGATATGAAGGATAAAAATATTACTATCACAAGAGATAGAAAAATCCATTGAGTTTCATATGCTTAATTTAGGATACTGGAGCCTCCTTTTGTCCAGGCTGAAGTACCCCAGCTCCCTCAGCCACTCCCATGTCTCACACTGTAGACCCTTCACCAGCTCTGTTGTCCTTCCCTGGACTCGCTCCAGCCCCTCCATGTCCTTCTTGTAGTGAGGGGCCCAGAACTGGACACAGAATTCAAACTGTGGCCTCACCAGTGCTGAGCACAGGGGGACAATCACTGCCCTGCTCCTGCTGGCCACACTATTGCTGACACAGGTCAAGGTGCCATTGGCTTTCCTGGCCACCTGAGCACAGCTGGCTCATGTTCAGCTGCTGTCACCAGCACCTCCAAGTCCTTTTCTGATGGCCTTATGATTATATTTGCTTTATGATTATGACATCTCATGCCTTCAGGAACCCACAGATGGGCTCCAAGCACAGCTGTCTCAGCCTACACAGGGTTATGAGAGTAAATGTATTTCCCAATCAGTCTCATTTGAAAAGCCATATAAAGCTTGTAGCAGCAGAAAGCATTTGCCCAGTGCTGAGTTAATGAAAGACATGGCAACTTTACACTGCAATAATTGTGAAGGCAGATGAGGATCTTTGTTTACATGAAGCTGCATCAGATCTAACAGCAGGCACGGCCAGTGAGTGCTCAGAGTGCCAGAGGGAGATGGTGAAGGTTTCAGTAGGTGCCATCCTCTGTGCCCTTGGCTCCTGCAAGGCTTGTTTTAACTGTGGTTTCTTTTACACTGCTTCCAGATCCAAGCTGCTGCTTAATTAATTTGAATTTCACATAGGTCCAGCCTAGGACTAGGCACAACAGCCCACAATTTGTTCAAGCTTTTCATTCTCACAGACACTATGGGTGAAATGTTTCACTACCTTTTTAAATGGAGTAACAGTGCTCCATGCCCAGGAGATGTTAGAGATACCAGAACTCATTTCTGACATGCTTTGGACTCTAAATACAGTCTTGTTTCACCATACCACCATACCTGCATTTT